CCACATCTGATGGTGGAGCACTTGGAAGAGACTTTAGGAGACCACTCTGATAAATTCGTCTAACATCCGGATCTACCAGTCTTTCAGTTGCCATGCGACTTGTCCGCACCTTACGCGTCCTCGGTAACCGTAGGGAGAAGCGACTCCGGACGAGCGCGTTGTCAGAGTCCACAAATGTGTTCCAAAACGACCGGCAGTCAGTTATTGATCCACGCCATCGGTAGCTGATAGCAATGTAGTCGATTAGAGTTTGTGGCCGGACTGCCGTTGGAGGACACCATGTGACCAGACGACTTCGGCTATTTCGGAAGTTATTACTGCATAAAAACAGCCTGTGATCAGCACAGCTGAAGCAATCGTTCCCCAGTGTTTGTGCGTATCGAGTCCAATTCATGTCGACCTAATTGGGTCTCAGATACGCTAGGCCTGCCCACTTGTGCATTCAAATCTCTGGCAAACACCACGATGTCTGAGCTTTTAGCTCACCGCAGCAGGGCATTCAGGGCACCATAAACTTTGTCTTTGACGGCGTCGGAGCTACAGTCGGTTGGGGCGTAGGTAGACACGATAAACAGACATCTATCTACTTGTCGCTTGTAAGGATCCTTCACATACGTTGTCAGACGAAGCGCGTACAGGCGACTATAATTGGATATCCAATCAAGCCAGGATACTTCCGCCCGGTGACTTAGGACAATACCGACCCCTGCACATACCGCCGCAGCAGCCTTTGGATCACCAGAGGTGCGTAGCCGAGTGGAGACTGACGGAGCAGTTAGCTCAATCATTGTGCTTGCATCTTGAATTCTCGTTCCCGAGACACAGCACACCTCAATGCCAAGCGAGTCCAATGTGAGAGCAAGAGCAGCTTATTGTCCTACTTGCTTCAGAGTGCGGACATTGAAGGCGGGCAGATAGACTGCCTGTCGAAGCTTGCAGAGTGATTTGAAGGTAGCTGACGATGTCGGTGCCATGTGATGAGCAGATGTTGTACGCAAAACTGATGCATGACGAGCCGAGTCATCAGTCCTCAGTGCTGGGCCTACAAGGAGAGAGTTATTAATGGGGTGGGGAGAGGAGGAAGAAAAAGTATGTGAAAGGGAAAGAAGGAAGGCGTCAGCAGTAGCCTCTTTTCGTTCACCCGCCCTGCTGTATGCAGCAAGCCAGGCGGGATACTGTCAGGGCGCCCACACCTAGACAGGGGGACAATTAGGGTCCACAACCAAAGCCTTTGGCACCGGAAGGCAGCGATGTTTGGCGGGCAGTGCAGATGCGTTACCATTTCTACGAAACAAGTCGCCATATGTTCCCACCTTCAACCTGGGGGACCAGGTTGAAGGACAACAACAACCTCTAGCGACAACTTTTATCTAATATATGTAGGGCATTAAAGTGAAAAGAGGATAAAAGCGGATGAAGGGGGACTAGTGCTGGTCTATGGCAAGCATTTTAGGTTATCTGCATCTGCGAGCACCTAGTCAGACAATCGGTAAATGTCTCCTGCCATCATCATAATCATAATCAAAGACAGTAACATCAGTGTTGACACGGATGCCTCACTGCCGGACAACCATAAGGTTTGTTGAATTATATTTAAAGCCCTACAGTTAAAAGAAGAGAAAAGGAGTGGATGAGGGAAGGGGCCTAGTCCTGGCTTATGTCAAGCATTCCGAGGTGCCTACACCTCCAAGCGCTCAATCAGGCAGACGGCAGTGAAGCATCAGTGCCAACACTGATGTTGCTGACGATTGGTGATGCACTCAGGCAATCTGGAAAGAAACTGAACATGAATGCCACTGACGTCGATTAGCCGCCATTTCTTGCAATGTCTCCAGCCAAGCGCAGGTGGGGTCACGGGGACCCCATCCTGGAAGGCGCGCAACACCTCTCTTTCACGCCCTTCCTCCAAGTCATACGTTGTTCATCTCGCGGTTTGTGCCGTTCTGAGGGAGGAACGGAGAATATCACTCTTCTCGGTAGACGATGTTTCGGTATGTGTAGCACATGACCGAGCCATCTTAGTCGGTGGTGTTGAATGTTTTCCCTGATTGAAGTACCTGCAGCACAACCAAATACCCATTTTCCAATCACCTGATTACTAGCACACTGACGCCATCCTAAACCAGCCTCGCTTCTAGAGTATTGGTGGTGAAAAACCTGAAGGGGCCTCACATCATCTGTCCACAGAGACTATGTCTGGCACCCATGCGAGAGCAGAACCCTTACTATTACTGATTCGTAGAATATTTGGTGTGGATTCACACTCAACCTCAGGTATGAACACTGCTAGGTTGAATTCCAGTAAACGGTCTCCTTTACGCCGTTCGGTCATCCAGCTCAATAAATTTCAATGCCTCGTAACATAAAAAAAGTCCCTTGATTAATCAACCCGCAGTTCTGATGCTGTGAGTCGGCCTTCTAGCTATAAAACCCTTTAGGTGCACAGCTCCCATATCACCCGGAGAAAACACGAGGTATGAGGCACTGCCAGGTTACTCAAGCCTAGTTGGTAACCATCGACGTGCAGAGGTTGCATTCGGGTTTGAGCCACCGATCTTCCGGTCCGTAAGCCAGTACCTTAACTACTGAGCCATTGTAATGCAGACAATAAATAATCGGAATAACTCTACCTCACGGTTTGGCTCGTGCTTCACACGCGCAAAGTGTAAAGTGCTGTTGCAGGACTGGGTGAGCTCGAACTCGCACCTTATGCCTCTGGAGAAGCCGTTTGAATTTCTTGGCACATTTGTCTATCTGATCAGTCGCTTGTTGTCCATATGACGGCTGCCTTGGCATGAGCATATTTTTAGTTGTGACGTTCATCGTTGTACACGGACAGGGTTGCTGTTATGGCACCCACACCTAACGGGGAGAACGATTAGGACCCCCATCAAAGTCTTTGGCTCAAAAGCCTAACCACAAGCAGCTGGTGGGTGCCCGCGTACAACCACAGTAGTACATGCCCTTTAAGGAATACGTCGCCAACCCGAGGACCAGGGGACTGTATCCGTCACACCTCTGTCCGCTTACCAACCTAGTATGAAAAGCTCTGTAGGTGTTAAAATAAAACCCTTCAGCATAACTCAGTTGGTCATAGAGGTCTATAAACCGCCACACCGCAATGATATCTGATCTCTCTGTAGTGGGAGGGGGATAGTGGTCGTGAGAGAAATCGTCTGGATTGATTTTATTTCCGTTGGCTTTGCTTGAAACGACTTTTTCCTTGTACATATCGAACTCCATTGCTTGTTTACTTTCTATTGAGTGTAGGGTTGTACAAACAAAGTCTTCGAAAACCCTGGTCACAAAGAGGCATGTAGACTTTTCATGTGAATATAGTTTGGAAGTGATCCTTACACACTCCCAGTCATGGAGCATTGGCCGTGTTATAGTTACGGTGATATGCAAAATCGTGGTGGAAGAGGCGTAGCTCGGTTCTCCAGCACAGCACCTTGTTGTTTCCGACTCACGTTGTGTGGTTTGTCTCAAGAATGGTATTGACTGCCGATCAATTGCTAGCTTTATTTCCAGGAATTTAGTGATTCCGTTAGCTGATTACTTCATTGACTGTCTAACCTTTCCGGCGGCAAGATGAAATTGATCCGCTGCAGGTAGTGTTCTGAAGAAAGAAGCAACAAGTCTTCCATGATGGCCCAAAGTGGCGGCTTTTGCCTCGTCTGACGCTTGCATTAGGGAAAGGTAGCCTGTCCCGGACAACTGGGGAGAATCGGTAATGGTGCCCATCTTCAAAAAAGGGGCTCGTAGGAAGTGTAAACAGGGGGATCAGCTTGACCCCGGTCGTAACGAGACTGTTGGCGTCAATTATACTTTGTCGCCTCACGGTGACTCGTGAGACACTGACTCGAGAGCAGCAAGTGGGATTCGCGCCTTGTAGGGGTTGTGTCGACACAATCTCCCCTCTCCTTCAGGTGCTAGAACAACGCCATACGTACAAACGACCCACATTTCTAGTGTTCCTGAATCTCCAAGGCACATTCGACTCGGTTGACCGGTCTGTATTGCCTGACACTCTTGCCCACCAAGGAACGTGAACAGAATACGTTCCTTTTATTCTCATACTTCCGGACCTGTGAGAGTATACCTATGACTACCTATGAGTGTACCTGTGAGAGTATATCTAAAAGCTTCCGTACAGAAAACGGTGTCCGTCAGGTATGCCCACTCTCTCCATTCCTGTTTAACTTCGTGATTCATGAGATAATGAGGCGAACGCAGGAAGGTTTCCAAAACCATGGTATTCAAATAGCCTGTAAAGAAAACCTTGTCGATTTGAAATATGCAGACGACATCTTTCTCAGGTGTTGGATGAACTCATCAAAGTCATCCCGTCCTTTGGTATACACTTTGCACCCACAAAGTGTAAGGTCATGCTCGTGGACGCGCAGTCACTGAACGCACCACTTACAATCCAGGGAGAGGTACTGCGAGTTGTGGAGCGCTTTATGTCTTTACCTTGGAAGTTGTATTGGTTCCAACTGTAGTGTGATGGATGAGGTCAATGCACGAATCTGCAAGGCTCGGGGCGCGGTTGCTAATTTGAGACACCTATGGCACCAGAGTGATGTATCTCTGAATCTTAAGGGACGTATGCATCAAGCTACAGTGCGGGTTGTTTTGTTGTATGGCTGAGACAGCCTGTTCGGGCAGCGGAACTGAGACGTCTTCAGGTGTTCGACAATCGTTGTCTTAGAACCACAGCTTGTGCGTGCTGGTGTCGGAATATCCGTAACGAGGCAGATGGAAAACGAGTTTTCGGTTTTGCAGCGGGTACTTCCATTGAAGAATGTGTCCAGCACCAGAAGCTGCCTTGTTGCGTATGCCTTACTCTAGTTTGCCGAAGAGGGTGTTGTTTTGCATGCCCAACTCGGACTGGCGTAAGCAGAGAGGTGGCGAACCCTTGGCGTGGCAGAAAGGTAGGAGGGAGATTACTAAGCGTTTCATTGTTGTCGGTGCTGCTCTCCTTCCAGGATGTGGCCTGCATGATCCTCACTGTGCCTGGTTGGAAACACTACAGGATATGGCTTCCAGCCGATGTCAGTGGTGTTCTTGTTGTCAATTACTACCCAGGTTTTCTGAGTGAGTGTGTGGAGGTGTAGCACCTCAAGTGGGTTGTAATAAGCTAGTGCTAAGTCCCTTTCTTTTCTACCGGTGTCCATCGGTGTTGAATACTGATATCATGCCGTCATTGATAATGATGTAGCTGCTTTCGGTGCATGGCTGGATATGCTGTGAGGTGTGACCGCTAATGGATGTCGACTGCGTACTCTTCATTTTTATCCCGATTGTCCGACAGATTATCTGGAGATTTAGGCCTCAGAGTGATTTTGCTAGCCTTGCACTATGTCTCTTCCACACCCAATTTCATTCTTTCCTCCATAATATGTCTCAAATAAGTCGTAGTTGGAACGCAGCGAAGCTTCGTTGTTGTACTGTCGATGTTGAAGAATGCTGTAAACTTGCTAATTGAAAGGTGCCATTTTTCAGCCCTCCTGATGACAGAACCAAGTTCATCAAACGCAGCGGAGAGTACTTCAGGACCTCCAGTGTGTATCATTGTGCTTGGCATGGCTGGTTCTGGAAAGACCACTTTCGTGCAGCGTCTCCTCACCTACTTGCGTTCACTTCAACAGTCAGTTTATGCCATCAATCTGGATCCAGCCGTGCACCACGTACCCTATCCAACAAACATCGGTAATGGTTCACCTCAGGTTGATTAACTTCCGAAATTTAGATATCCGTGATACGGTTAAATTCAAAGAAGTGATGAAACAATATGGTTTCGGTCCTAATGGTGCTATTATGACCTCCTTGAACTTCTTTGCCTCTCAGTTCAACAAAGTGGTTGATCTGATCCACAAAAATTCCAGTAAAGTTTCCTATGTTGTATTGGATACACCTGGTCAGATTGAAGTATTCACGTGGTCAGCTTCAGGTACGATTATTTCGGAATCGCTGGTAGGATAATATTTAACCATTCACTGTACATACTTCTCGAGGGTTCTGCTTTTCCGACTATCGTGATTTATGTGATGGACACGCCACGAAGTCATAATCCGGTCACTTTCATGTCGAATATGCTTTACGCCTGCAGTGTGCTTTACCGAATGCAACTCCCATTCTTAGTTGTACTGAACAAGGTGAGTAATCCTTTGCAGCTTATAGTTCATCAATGATTGGGTACCCTTCAGTCATGGTGGTATTCATCGGGCGTGATAATCCCTATTTTTTCTTAGCCCTTCAAACTGGGAATTTGGGCTCCCGAAACCTCCCTCTAAATATGAAGTCCAAGATATGTTGCCATGTATCCTATTGGTATCAATAGTGATCGGTAGTTCATGGTCTCATTTGTTTTGACGACCAAATCCACTACATGGAATCGCGGCGAATGTACACAATCCAATCTTCTCGAATTCGATTGTTAGCAGGTTGTTCAGCCGTCATGTATTTCTGAAATGTTTGGGTAAGAAATGAAGAACATATTTCGAAGGGGTAACTGATGTGATTTTTGGAAATCCCCATCAACATGAAGTGGCACCCGAGCAGACGATGCAATCAGTCATCCAAAAGGTGATTAATTATTTAGTCAGCTGACGCTTCCTGTCCATCTATCTAGCGACCTGTCATCTGAGCTCGAGATGGATCAATGGTTAAGGCAGAAATGGCTGCTAGGAAGGTCCGCGGGTTGAAACCATACTAGGCATCTCGATTGCTTCTTGGGCAAACTGGCGGCATCTCAGCTCGCGGGCGCTATTGTAGCTAGACCTCGAAAGAGTGTTACAGCTGAACAGCTAGTAGAAATATGACTATCCAGGGTCTGTAGGCTTTGGTTTTGGTTTTTCAAGAAATCCTGTGGTTTTTGCATCCAAATCTGGGTTTATGCTACATACAATCTCTCTTTCGAGCCAGCGGTGGCCTCAAAGTCCTTGGGAGTACCGTAGCTCTATTCACGAACACAACTTGCAACTTAAAATGCTCCCATTGCCAGTTGACATTTGGATGAATGAGCGGCATTCTCTTCTAGACCTTAATTTTCTACCTTCCAGGTTATAATACTGGGATTTTGTGTCTGATCAACATCAATTTGAAGTTAGATTAATGTCGAATTTAGATATGTATTACTGAAAGGGATGAATCGGAATATCCAACCGAAACAAGTCGTAAACGTTCCATCTCCTCCAATATTTTGGTAGGTCGCCAGCGTAGAAAAGTCACGAAGAGTTACCTAAAGAAAACTGAACTATGTGCGATAAAATTCGGGCTTTCTGGACCACTATTCGCAGCCATCTGCAGAATAATTTATGTGGGCCTTACGTAGTTAGCTCCTCCGAGGCGAGGCCTCAAAGCACGTGTTCGCTCTCCCACACTGCGGCTTCCGAAATCCGTGCTACTCACAACTTTAAAGTAACTGAAATAATGAACGTTAAGCGCAATTTATGCCAGACGTTCTACCTCAGAAACTGTAAAGCCAAGAGCGGAGGAGTCATTCTGACTGGTCTCCTACATTACCCACTAATTCATCCTCATCATGAAAAATAAATCATAGGGATAGGGTTTCAAATCTTCCCTTTGAATGTGGAACGGACAGTGCATTCGCATGAGTGTGACGAGACCAGGACTGTAAAATCACACCGGTTGAACTGCATTGCCGTGATGCTGCTGAATAACATTCAAGTCGAGTCATGAGTCTGGGCGGCTAGCCTAAGCAGAACAGAATAAAATAGTGCGTGCTCGCCCGTCGAGTGGTGAGGTATGCCACAGTAAAACCACAAAACACATCGTTTGACTACTTGGTAGATATCATGTACTCACAACAACAACTACCGTACGTTTGTCGGTAGGATGCACGTACCCTTGCTAAGCAGGGCAGAGGCAATGAGCATGCACGATTGACCTTATTTAAATTACTTGAATGGCGTGAAAGTGAGTGCTTTGATTGTTATCACTGCTTGATAGTGGCTTTGCTTGTCAAACCCGCTCCGATATCTTGAAGTCACTAATGAGGTAGCTGCACGAACACAGTAACTTCCTGAATGATGTACGAGACAATTGAACGGGTTTTCTATCATGCTTTTAAGTAAGTTTTTTAAACCAATGTTCCTTTTTCAAATTCGTATGCCAGTCCAGACTTTGTCAAAAACATTTGTTCGCCAGAGCATGGCAGTTTTCAACAGATTTAAAGTGTACACTTAGCCCATAGTCACTATCCAGCTCGATCGCTACTTGGGCTTTGTCGACGGAATGCGATTGCGAACAGTTAGGTAGGTTTTAACTGTGTTTATTCCAGACCCTACTGAAAAACCCCACGTGTAAACCCAATCAAACCTGAATATCCCTCAAACGTCACGCACTCAGTCATGCTGGTTCACTCTGGACTGAGACAGAACTCCAATTACTTATCAGTCTGTATAATTCTGTGCTGAAGGAATACAAAGGTGTACTACTCCATTTCGAACCAACCACGCTGGTATGTTCGTAACTGTTCGAATGTAATACTTGATGATGTTTTCTCGTCGGGCCCGAAGTTTTGTGTACCGGACCAACGCGAGATTGGAACTTAGTTTGAGGATTTATTCAACGAAGCCACTCAGTTTCTACCTACATCATAAGACATATTAGATCAGTTTGAGACTGAATTCGTCAACACTTGGCATTACTACCGTCACATCCACTTATTCCATTTATTCCCTGTAACCCTAAAACAAATCGAAATGAAGAGGCTTGTGAAGCAGAACCGACGTGATTTCAGTCCGACCGGATAAATAACCTTGAATAGTTCTCGATGTCCGTGTTTACTGTTTGATGAACACACAAAATAGTATGACGAGAAAAAAGGGACTCCCTAAAACTCAGGAGTGAACGCGATACCACTAATACACGGTTCGAAAGTCAGCTCAACGGATTCATGTCCTTTGAACGTATTGGCTTTCGAAGATGTATAAGCGTAAGCAGGGTTGTCCACTACGTCCCATAAGTAATGTGAGTGGCTAATTGTATCATGCGCTGGCTGAAGAAGCTTCTAGACCCTGTCCGTGTACTCTGTGTGCTCTGCGGAAGTTTCCTCTCGTTATTAATATGCCACTGTTCGAAATGGTTGGTTATATTTGTGCTTTTTATCCAATCAAACATGGGTTTGCCCATTCTCATACTGGACTTGAAAAAGTCACTTCGTCGATGCTTCTTCAACAGTTTTCATGCAATGGTTCTGGTTATAGACAGGAGAATGTGTCCCCTTTCCGCTAATTTTTGTCGATATATGTTCGTGCAACCAAAACAGTTACAATTTTCTAGGTGCCATGTCGATAAAATTTTTGTTATGCATGGTTGTCACACCACAACCCGGATGATTCGGAACACCTTCAATTCGACACACACCATTTTACTCTGGAGCAACGGGTGAACAACACCTTTTATTTTATTGATCTTACCTAGCCTAATCGACAAGTTCACCGGAAGTCAACATCGTCTGGCCAGTACACAATTTTTCACAGTTATTTGAATATGAAGTACAAAAGAACTCTCGTCAAGTGGCTTTCAAATCGGGTTTGTAAGATCTACGTCATAAAAAACGGACCCCAGAGATGTTTTTGATTGCAACTCACTCGATCGATATTAATGATCGGATGAATCCTTCTGAGTTGGGCGCCATTAGGTGGTTCCAAGACCATTGTATAAAGCGGATGCTCAACAGGAGCGACGATTACTGTTCGACCACATCAACCGACCCTTTCATCAAAGACATCACGTCGACTTGCCTTGACCGACTAATCACAGTTCTTAATTAACCCCTGTTGAATGACTTAAATATCCCTTTGTTGCCGTCCGCTCATGCCTACGTGCCTAAACTGCTAATATGTTAATCTTATTCGCTGGTCGTGACCTTATTGAAAACTATTTTTTGCAATACATGGTGTTTTTATCAGGTCCATCCGCCAAGAAATAGAATTGTATATTCGAAGAATTTAGTGCTAAATGTGAAGTGGGTACTGTTTGAAAACGTGGTGTTCTGAAGTGAGTGTAGATATAGTCCCCGTATCCGCATGGATACGGACCTCTATTTTTTAGAGGAAAATGTTGGTAGCCGTTGGTCATTGGTTTAAGTGTGCTAACTCGCTTCGTCGTTAACATAAGAATATTTCGACTGTGTTATTTGGAAACAAATCATTAATACGCACTTGAAAGTTGGTAGCTGATAATTGATATCATTGTGATATCTTCATGAACGATGTGTGCTATTCCTTGAGGTTTTGCTGATTTAGGCGACAACAGTGTTTACGGTGAAAGATTTACGGTACTTTTATACCGTGCACCATGTACATGGCTGTAAACTGGATTTGAGTGGACAAAACTTTCGAATTAAACATATTTTCCTGTTCAAATTCTTCAACCATATGTTTCTATATTCTGCGAATACATCGACTTAATATAAAACCGCTCAGTTGTCTCGATTATTATTCTGGAAGTTACTGTGTTCGTGCGGCTATCTTATTCGTTACTTGAAAAATATCGGAAATGGTTTGGCAATCAAAAAGTCACTACCAACCGGAATGACACCAGTGAAGGCATTCACTTCCACACCGTTCGGGTAGTTTAAATTGGGTTAATCATGTTTGCTCACTTTGCTTCACTCAACACGGATATGCACATTCTACTGACATATAGTGCAGTCGTTGCTGTTGTGAATACAACAGCAGAATACAGATATACATTTACCAAGTGGTCAAATCATCTGCTTTCTGGCCTTGTGTATGGACGCTCGCCCTAACGACCACGTGCTATTGTGTTTTGTTCTACCCAGGCTAGCCACCAAGTTATAATTTATGCAGTTGAAGTTGAAACGGTGTAGACCCAACATAACAGTCTTTATGAGAAACCTTGTGTTTGCACTCTTGTTTTTGAATTCTTTATTTCTCCAACCCATCTCTGAATGTTCACAGTTGTTCTGGTCTTATGGCGTAAAACATGAAGTTTGTGGTTCAAAATCATCTATGATTTTTTGCCTATTCCCTTCCCCTGACTGGAACTATCACCTATTTCGTGTTCCTTTTAAGCAGTCTGTCAGCTGCTCACTGAGGATGTGTTATAGCTGAATATTTCAGCTTTTTCCAATGGACGACGAAAGTCCACCTTTGTATGTTTTGCTACCTGTCCTTGAGTCTAAAACGTGTACAAGAATTTCTTGAGCCTGGGTTCTCTACCATTTTTCCTCAGACGGATATAATTGATTGCGGATTTGCCATAGAATGGATGAGGGATTTTGAAGCTTTCCAGGATGCCCTTGCTGGGTCCCGTTCGACTGATGGCCCCATCGAGTTGGAGGCGGATAGCTCAAGTGGAAACTCGGGAACATCGCCTTACATGACTAGTCTCATCAACTCTATGTCCCTCGTTTTGGATGAGTTTTACAATGAACTTCGTTGTTGTGGGGTATCTTCAATCACGGGAGAAGGAATGGATAAACTTCTTCAGGAAATCAATCTGGCCACCAATGAGTATCACGAGGTTAGTGAACCTCTAGTCACTTTTTCGCTCAAAGTTATTTACGCCTTTTAGTACCATTTCTGGTTACTACTGAGGTTGGTCGCATAAATTTGCGCTGAAAATGAAGTGTTTGGCCGTTTTTTTGAAACTTTTCGTAGATGACATCTTTCCCAATCTCTAGGTTGGTGACTCAGCCAATTCCAGGGAGTGCAAAATGTACTGTCCATCTTAAGTTACTGAATTCGACGCGTGCGATAGTCTTAGGGTGGAAGCACCGTCAATCCAAGACAGTTCGATATTTTCAAAGCGAGAATGGATGTTGCACTGGCATTGATTTGGTCGCTTATACCCTTTGACATGATCTCCAGCTGAAATTTGTCGTGCATTCGGGACACCATCTGTTCTTGCATCTTAAATGATTTCCAGCATCCAAGGAACTGGAACTGTAGAGTGTAAACTCTAAGCGAACCGGAACACATGTTATAGAACCCTTCGAGAGTGACAGTTTCCTGAATCGATTCAGAGGAATAGACTCTGCGCCTCTTCACTTGGTAAGATATTGAGAATTTCACTTTCTTGAAACCGAATATGTTTCTTTTTTGTTTCGTTCCTGTGATTCAGTTTGGTTACCCGGTCTTGTTTACACGTACAGGGTTATCGACCACTGTACTAACACAAGGAGATAGACGACAGACAGAAGTTAGATAAAAAACACGAAGACAGTGTAGGTCTTTGGTGATCCTGAGGCCAATTGAACCTGCTCTGTATTTAGTGGAGAATTGCTGGATATTGTTTCTATTAGTGTCGGTGAAGTGTTCCCAGATGAAATCTACCCAACTTGCCCAATGACGTGTTTGCATGTGTGGGCAAGATACTAGGTCTTTTCTTTCTTCC